CTCCCGGTGTCATTCATCTGTAACTCTCCATCTGTCGCCGTTCCCCTCTGCCTGGCTGTCTGTTGGTCTGTCTGCCAGCTTTGTCAACGCATCAGTCTGTTTCTGCTGGTCTCCTCTGGCATGACAGTTCTGACTGCAGGATTGTGAATGTTGGCAAATGTTTGCCCGCATGTTGCACTCAGAAAGGCAAAAATAGGGAAACGGCATATAATCACTAGCCTGATATCGCCTCGCTCTGCCATAACGGCATATCATTGTCTCACTCAGCAGGTAGAAAACATGGGGTAACAAACGTTGACTCTTCTGAAGGGTTTTGTTATTTTCAGGGTTTTTGACTGAATTCCGATTTTTTTATGTTCGATTCTGTTTTATGTTCGATTCTGTTCAAAGTTGAGGTGTACTTAGCACCGAAATTAAAGACATCTCCATTCCTTGTAAGTGGGAAAAATTGGCTTTTTAAGGGAAATATTATGTTAAAGTGGCAACAAATACAGTAAAAATATAAACAGAAGCATTGGATAAAAGATTTTTCCACAACTGTTTGTTCTTTTACCTCGCAGGGCATAGTTTTACAATCAACATTCATATTGACACTTTACACAAAGCAGGAATTATATTGGATTAAATTAATTTGTTTTTTGATTACTGTTGAAAAAGAAGAATGTTGACTGGTGGCTGTTTTACCAGAACGAGGTATTAAGCTGAGATGGTGTATGACAGACTCAAAATTAACAAAATGACTAATTTCACTGTAATTAACTTAGCTGGCAAATATTGCATGTGGCTTTTGGGCTTTTACATCAGGAATGACTTTCCAAAGTGGAAAAAAAATGGTTTTTGACTTGTTCACCACATTCTTATGGAAAAATGTTTGTGTCTGAAATTTTTGTAACATGATTTTGTAAGATGGTGGTAATTCTCAGACATCCGATTAACCTTCTCAAAGTCATGTGGTTTATATTCCTAAATGGATGGCTATTTTAAAGTTGAAAGCAATAATGGTTTCTCACTAACCTCTGTTGTGCAGCTTTGCTAATCTGACTAGCGTGCCTGTGATGGATGGGGATCCAGGTGCTTCATCCATTCTCACTAAGTATGTGTCCAGCTGTTTCTTCTGGAAGCCTTCCCAGGCAGTTTGTGTAAAAAATCATCCCGTGTGTCAGTTTAATGACTTCCTGCTTTAATTTTTTTTATATATTTATCCTAGTTGCACCATTTACCTTCATTCTGTTGGCGAAAAGAGCAAAAACCTTCAACTTTATCTGATAAAATTGAGCCTATATATCAGAATGTTTCACTTACCTCCTTAATACCACAGAAGCATATTACATTCACAGAATAAAACCTCTCTAAGTGATTTAGTCTTTAACCTCCTTAAATGCCTACAAAATAAAGACCCTGTTTAAGACGAGCATCAGTTCCTGCTGCCAAACATTCAAATCGACAATCAATCTCACAACTTCAGTTCTTGCTGCTCAATATGCGAGAACCGTATGTCTCCAAAGAGTTTACCAAACGTGCCACTTAAACCCTCTGTTGTGGGTTGCTTCAGTCGGCTTGCATTAGTTTTCTTCCATTGGCAGATCATTAGCTCTACAGAAATCAGTCAATCATTTCAAGACACATTTATCAGCCAAAGGTTTTTTTGTTTTTTTTTTAACAAAGCATGCCACCAACATCTCCTTTTTATAGCACATTGCACATTTTGTCAATTTTAAGCATGATTTATCAGAATTTTAAGACTTGACCACACTGAGATTGTAAAAAAATCATAGATTCACTATTTTTCACACTGATTAATATCAAAACAAGATAATAAATTTGCCAACAGGAAACACATTAATTTTAAAGGGGCAATATTATGGTATTTCCGGCCACATAATTTTTAGAGCACAATTAAATAACTACGTGACCTTCAGTTGTTATAAAAATCCCGTATGTATCAAATTTGACTGAAAAGAAATTTGACTTAGTAATTTAACGCCTTGAAATTGGGTCTCTGTCTCTTTAAGAAACACCTGCTCTTTCTGAAACTCCACCTTCATTAAGTCATCAATCTATTAACTCTTTAACAACATTTTTACCAGTGTTGCACTGAGAAATAGCTCATATGTGCTCAGCAGATGCACAGTTTTACCAGGAGTTTGCTAATTGCTGCTGGCTAGTCTGAAGGAGCTGAGTGGGGGAGCCACAGAGGGGCAATGTTATGTGAGGCAGAAGCTTGGAAGCTGCAGCTCTGCAGGTATTTTGAACAGCTGGAGATTAAAGGATTTTTCAAACATCAAAGACTCAAGGCAACTCTCCAGGAATGTTATTGATGAGGGAATAACATTATAACATAAAGAAAAGCTAAAAAAAAAAAATCTATTTTACATAATACTGCCTCTTTAATATTTACTATCTTCCTGTAATATGTTGACTTAATGTCAGTTCTACAGGTTTATTTAAAACTTTCTTCAACATAGAAGACATTTTTTTAAAAATGTGTCTTTCCTGCACTCATCAGCTGTGAGGAAATTGAACACAGATTGGGTAATAAAAAGTTAGGTGACCAGATGGTAGCGTTTTATGGCCTGAGATTTCGAATAGAGATGCTGTGTCACATGAATAACTAGCATGACATACTTCAACAGCTGTGATTGGTCCAGATGATTAGTGTTTACAGACCGCACAGCTCGGCTCAATGTAATTCTCCTGGGCAACACAAACATAGCTAACAGGCTGTTATAGTCACATTTGCTCATAGTTATGACACATTTTCTCCTCTTTTTTTTTTCAATTTTTTGTGCTGTGGAAGCTACAGTTATAGATGTTGCTGTCAAATTCTACAGAATAAACCAGAATCAGAACTGAAGCAGTATCATAAATCAACCTTATGTCTATGTCAGACAATTAAATCAAAGACGAGAATGAAATAATGTTTGAAATTATTATTATTATTGTGTTTGTCATTTAAAGGTGGCTTATTAGGCTTCATTGTGCAGGTTAGGATAGGTTTACAGGCTATACAAAACATGTTCATTAATTTTTTTTTTTTTTGCATCTTTCTTAGATAAGATTTTAGTTTGCTCATTTCTGCCTATTTTCAGTTTCAGGCTTCTGGTCATTTTAAATCCAAATAAGCTGCTCCTGGCCACGCCCACCCCCACCCCCAGCTCACTGTTTACATACTCACATATGAAAACAGATGCGCTATTATACAGATATGCATCTTTGAAAAGCAGAAGTTGCGGCCTCCTGCACAATTAAAAGAATACAGCAAGTGGTTTCTATATGGTAAGTCGACAATAGAACACTTTTCCAACAGCCATCGTACAGAGCATACAGCAGTAAAACCAGCTCACCAAATGTGTGCTGGAGCTCAGCTTGGGTTGCTAGGTCATGGCGCAGTGTGACTCAACAATTAGTGAGGTTTTGTTGAAATGGCTCATTTCTCAGACACCAAAAGACGTTAAATCGCAGGAAATGACTTGGTGTTTTTTAAGCACTTGAGCTGTTTTTAGAATCAGTAAAGACTTAAACTGAAATATAAAATCTTTCAAAAAGTGAATTTTGTATAATAGGCCCCCTTTAACAAACTTACTAGCAGCACACTGAAATGTATTGTAAACATTATCACCACTTTCAGAAACATAATTCACAGAGGACATCACAAGCCAGATCAGGTGGAGCGTATGCAGAGTCTTTCATATGTGATTCACAGACAGGTCTGTTACTCTGGTCAACATGTTACGACTTTACTATAACATGTTCTCTACACAGACAGAGTGAAGTATTTAATGTGAACTGATACGGTCTCTTTTTTATGTTTTCCATTTTATTTAATCTGACCTTATCAACCTCTCATGCTCCAAATTTCTAACTACACAGTTATGAATTATTAAGACAGCTCACGCCACTGAAAGCCAGTGCTAATTTAGGTCAGACAACTGAATTTTTATGAACATATCGTTCCTCCTATATGCTGTTTACTGCATCATGTGCCTAATGTCATACGATATTAAGTTTATACATTGCTTAAAGCTTCCACATAGCTGATCATGGAAAATAGGGAGGCAAACTCTCCCAACATTAGTAACCCCTTTCAATGTACATCAGATACCTGTTCACCTAATTCATTTCTTTAGCTACACAGTACATGTTCTGTGTGTTGTAGATGTTTTCATGCATATCCACACCTGTTCATCAACTTATGTTCTTTTTAAGCACTGTCAAACAATAATTACAAGTGTGATGGAACTGGGATACAGCTACATACTACCATTTTATAGCACAATCAAGAACTACGTTGCCTTCAGTTGCTATAAAAATCCTGAATATATCAAATATAGCTTAAAAGAAATTAAAATGCCTTGAAAATTGGCCTGTGACTTTTTAAGAAACTCCTGCTTTTTCTGGAACTTTGCCTTCAGAAAGTCAGTTTCCTCTGTTAACCCTTTGACAACAACTTGAAACAACCAATCAGAGGCAGGAGGAGGGTGTGTGCAATGCTCCCTCCTTATCTCTCACTCCGTTACTCTCTGCTAAGCAGCAGCTTTTCCCCGTCAGTAGAGCCTGACATAAATGCCACCGCTAGTTAGCATGGCCACCGATGACGGGGACTGAATGGGTTTCCTGTAATGGTAAATTGTTTATCTACCATTAGCACATAGCAGCAAGTACATGATGGTGATTGACAGCACTAAGACAATCCTCCTGGCTCTGATTGGTTGTTTTTGACCGGGAGCTGTTTGTTTCCAAAAGAAGCACAGGAAGGAAGTAGAGGAGACTGATATTTTCACATTTTTTTTCTGTCATGACATGGTGATAGTTTAAACAAATATGTAACAAAAATAATAATTATTTTAACTAAATTTACATACTGCAGATTTAACAGCAGGGGTTCTAATAACAAAGTTGTTTAATTTCTAATCATTGTCAGTGTTAGATTATGACACTGTAATAATTTATTTTACGGCTTTTTACACATCCCTACCAGGGAGTGCCAACAGTGTCTGTATTTGATGTGTGTGTTTGCCTGCAAAAGTTAATCTGACCACATAATGCTGGCAGGACATTACATCGCTCTATAGTGCATTTAGGCAAGCAGCCAGCTTCAAATATCGCCGAATGTTCAATCTGGAAGGGTTTCTGACTTGATAGAGGAGGAAAAATAATAATAAAACACACCAATCACTCTTGAAAAATTACAGCAAGACTATTTCCCAGCTGCGTGCCTATTTCACTCTCCCAAGGAACTCCCACTCGCCTGGATTTCATACGATTTCATCAAAAAGTTTCCCCAGATTGACTTTGAAGAGGAGAGGGGGGGCTCTATCTTGCTCTCCACACGGAGAACAACAAGCACCATCTCCCTGCTTCAAGTGCGGTGCACAGCCTCCTCTCCTCCGCCGAAACAGCTGGTTGTTGTTCGCTTCAGTTCAGAGGAAAAAGCGGCGGGCTGGAGGTGATTGAAGCGCGAGCGCTATAGGAAGAAAAGAGGCGGAGAGAGAAAGAGATAGAGAGAGAGAGAAACTGAATTCCAGCGAATTAATCACCGTCTGTTCCTTGTGCGAGAGGGAGGTAGAGTCAAAGCAGTCAAACAGAGGAGAAAGGAGAGAGAGATGGAAAGGAAAGGAGGAGGAGGAGGAGGAGAAGTGGTGCCTGACGCAGTGTGAGAAGCAGAAACTGAGAGGAGACGAAGAAGCGGTGGGGTGGGGGGTGAGAGAGAGAGAGGGAGGCAGAGCGGCATCATATCAGACGCTGCTTAGCATCCGAAAAAATCTCAATCACCTCGTCAGGAGCCGGCGGAGCCCTCTTCCCGGTCACAGCTGCTCTCAGAAACCGCACGAAGACACACAGGACGCGAGCCGGAGGGTAAAACAGTCCAATAACAGAAAACAACAGCAAGAGACACCGCACGTACACAACACCGCCAGAGGCAGCGCGCGCGGACCCGCCGTGCTGGAGGAGCGCCGTCTCCCCGCGTGCTGGCACATCTGGATCCATATCAGGTTAGAGTCGCATCTCTTTTTTTTTTTTTTTTTTTTTAAAGGAAACCCCATTAACCGTCAGCATCATATGTATAGAGAGTGTTTTAGTTCATATATGTTGTCTGCTTTTTGGGGAGGACCGGGACCTCATGGCGCATGGGCAACTTTGAAATATGTCAACATCTATATGGCGTTCCTGCGGTTCTGAAATCAGTCTATTGCTCTCTCTTTGAGTGTGTGTGCGCGTGTGTGTGCGTGCGCGCATATTGGTGACGAATGGAAGGAATTCAATGATTGGCTCGATCATCTTATCTCCAAGCCCTTGTGCGCGCTGATAATGGGGATTGGTGAGGGGAGCGGGAGAGAAGGTGGGCGGGGGGGAGGAAGGGGATGTAGATCCAGATGACCACCTCTCTGAATGTGTACAATGGATTCAGTCTGAATTCTGCAAATTCGGCCAGAGTCTTATCTTTGGTATTTATTGATGAGTCTGACACGTGCCAGGTTTTGTGGACTAATGAGCCGGTCGCTTGGAATTAATCACGTCTTTGTCCCAGGACGGGCTGCAGTGCCGGAGTCCTGGAATCCGTGCTGCAGTCCGGGACGGGAGCAGAGGCAGTCCCTATCCAACATGAGGCATGCTGAACTGTAGCTCTGAGTTGACAGATTTGAAGCATTTTGGTATTCTAAACTTCAGTGCTTTCATTACACCTCAGTCAGTGCTCACAGGATACAAAATCTCACGAAGCAGCAACCTATTAGATCCCAATAGGCACGTGCCTCCTGGTTTAACTAAAATCTGGTCTTCAACAAATACAGTTGTAACCAATTTAGATGGTTGCTTATGCTGTCCCATAGAGATAAAGTTATTTTATTGAAATATCAGTTAAAGTGACAGAGGTTTATTTTTCAGCTTAAAGAAGCATAAAATAATGGTGACTGTCCCGTACCCCACCTGTTGCTGTACTCTGCCTGTAGGGATTGGCGATATGGATTTAGAATTTTATCGCAATATTTTGTGGTGCTATTGTGTTGATACCGATAATGATAAAAAACAAAACAAAAAAAACAATTACTTATTTTTTTAAGCAATAAATAGTATTTCAAGACAGTGACCTCATAGCAGAGCATTCATACTGCCATAATCAAATATTGTTCTTGAAAAGCATTCTTGTCTTTTCAATAAGCTTCTTCAGGACACCACTTACTTAAAAAAAAAGTGTGATTTAAAATGTAGCAATTAATAGCATTTTGGAATTTACTGTATTTATTGATGCCCTCGCAAAACCAAAAGTGGAAGAAATAGCTAAACTAACATTTACAATCTATCAGTTTTGTTTTAAATTAACATCAATAATTGAAATTTATCATGACAATAATATATCAAAATAGGTTTTTCACGATAAATGATAAACGATGTGATAAAAGCCCAGCCCTAACTGCCAGATAGATGTCCTGAATACAAGTTGGTCAAATTTTTCTTTTGTGTACAAGAAAGACAAATTAGGCTACTTGGATATGCAGTTCAGTCTAGAAAAAAAATGAATAAAACTGAGTTATCACTTCTGTTATGATTGTTTTCTTTTCAAAAGTATGTAAGACTTAAATTGCCTCTCAATAGCAAGGCTGATCTCTCTATTTCATCTTAAATCTAAATTCTCTCTTTAGATGTTTACTGGAAGCCAGAGCGTAAACTGTTTTAAGTTTGACAAGTAGAAAGAAGTAAAATGAGCCGGAATTAGAGTATCACCACCATCATCCCTGTTTTTTTTATTTTTTTTATTAACTCAGTCAGTTAGATACGTCCCTCTATAGGAGACTGTAGTTAAGGCTAAATTATGAATTTTACTGACCAGCAGACATTTATCTTGTGTGAAAACAACAGATCTTTATCTCTGTCAAGAAAACTTATTGTCAGTGCATCGCCTCTGCAGATGAACGTTTTAGCTTAAAAACAGAAACATGTTATTTTTACCACTGATCTTTTAATTTAAAATTTTTTTATCTCCAAAAGAAAACAAAGATTCCTTAGTTGTTGTTTTTTTTTACACTTTAGTACATGTTATTATTACAGCAACCTTACATCTGAAGAAAGGATGAATAGAGTTATTTCATACATATTCAGATGTTTTAGAGTTTCTATGAAAGCTCCAATATAGTGGAGCATTCATAATTTAGGGTTTTTTTTGTAGTTTTTACATATTTTCTTTACATTTTCGACACAAATGTCCATGCTTAACATTTTCAACCATTTGTACTTAATTTCATGTGAAACATCTATGTCTAAATGTGCACGATATCTGCACCTTGCTAGACTGTTTTTTAAATTGTCAGTGAATTGTAATTCTGTGAAGTAAAGTAATGGTGAATTCACAACAGAAAAAAAAAAACATCACAACAAACAAATCTTTACAATTTAGAGTTGGTATGAATAAAGAAATCCTGAGACACAGGTGCACTAAACTGTAAAAAGTTTTTCTTTAGATTCAGATTCACATTTATTTGTATCCCAAATGGGCAATTGATGTTTAAGGGGGCAGTACTACATAGTTTCCAGGCACATAGTATAATTTTACTATGTGCCTATCAGGTCACTATATTATAAAAATGCTATATATATTCAAATATGGCTTAAATGAAAGTTGACTTTGTAATTTATCGCCTTGAAATTGGGCCTCTGTCTCTTTAAGTAACTCCTGCTCTTTTTGAAAGTCCGCCTTCAGGAAGTGCAAAACAACATGGCTCCTCTATTAACACTTTATCAAAGTTTTACCAGTGTTTCACTGAGAAGTAGCTCGTATCATGAGCTCAGCAGATGATCAGTTCCTCTAGATGTTTGCTAATTGCTGCTGGCTAGTCTGAAGGAGCTGAGTGGTAGAGGGGAGAGGCTTGGAAACTGCAGTTCTAAGGAGGAGCTGCGTCTCAAAGGGAGGTGAGGGGAGGTTACATCCACCCAAGTGTTTTACACAGCTGAATGGTTGCCATGGAGATTAAAGGATTTCTCAAACATGCATAAAAGATTCAAAGCAACACTCCAGGTATGTGAATAACATTGTAGCACAATGTAAAGCTCAAAACGTTGATTTTACATAATTCTGCCCCTTTAGTGTTGACTCTTATTGTTCAGTCATATCTTAATTCTTCAGTATTGCTAAAAGTCATATCAATTATCAACATGTTCAAAAACAATGCACCATGTTGCTAATTTATTTACATGCAACATGGGTGTTTAAGAACATTCAGGGCTTTGAGGATGGCACCAAAGCATGTAGGCACTGCTTACTGCCATGATGAAAGCGTCAAGAAAGCAAACATTTAACGGAAGAGTAGCATTTATCCATCCAGTAGGAATTCACACTGAACATGACAAAGAGCAGCAAAGCTCTCATAAGAGCTTTAGATGTTCAGAAGCTCCAACCGAGCATGCACGCTCCAACTCAGACAGAGATGTGTAAGCACCTACCTCCACGCCTGTGTTTGAGCAGTTCAAAACACGGGAGCTCACTGGATGATCCGTGAGAAGCAAAGTCACTCAACCAGTTAAACGTTGGCTGCCCCACTATCTTTTGTAACGGATGTTGTTGCCACTTCGTCCCACAGGGCATGGACTACTAACAGAGTTTTCCCACTGACTGACTCCAATTGTTGGCTGAGTGCCACAGACAGAGAGAAGGAAAGAGAAGAAGAAAAAAAAAATGAAGGCAAAAAGATTAAATGAAAAAGGGCAAGGGGACTCTGATCATAATAAATAGACATGATGTGGCTCCAGTATAACGGCTTCATTCACTCGTGTTTCGCATATTATCTTTTTGGGGATTGAGAAATGACTGACTGGCTCGTTTCGGGGCCAGACATCCTCTGTCACAGTGAAGCAGTCACTATTTCTGGGAATTCATTGATAACCATCTTTGAGGTTTGCTCATCTTGCTTTCATCCTGCATTAGTACTGCAGTGCTTGCTGCAGCAGACACACGAGTTGTAAAGGGGCACTTCAGATAGGGCAGGGAGGGGGGAAAAAAAACCCAACAACTTCTTAAACCTTAACAAATCCTGCTCAATAAAGCCGTCCGACACATCTCGGTATGCAGCTACACACAGTGAAAGCCGTTTTATTTCTGCTTTGGCAGCAGAAGTGTCAACGGCGGTGGAACTCTGATGGTTACGTCCGTAATAAGGCAGGAGGAAACATTAAAAATCAGCTGTAATGAAAAGTGACATCTTTAGTGGAGAGCAATTGCCGGTATGTCTGGAAGTACAAAATGGATGAACAGTGATGGGTTTAACGTCGGCGCTGTCACATCAATGTGAATCTCCAGTTCTGCTCTAACCTTCACCTGAAGTTTTGAAGGACTTTTTTTCTCCTTTACCTTATCTTTTACCTTAGCCCCAGTCTTTGTGCCTGGAGTTGTGCTACAAGTTCATAGAAGTACATCGGTTCCCAGCTCAGCATGTCCGCACATCCTTAAAGAGTCTTAAATTCATTTATCTAAAATCAAAGCCTTAAAATGATTTAATTTCATTTGTTTAAAAATGTAAATTGGCCTTTAATATATGAATCACATATATGACATTTTGTGGTGGCATTACTATTTAATCTAGTGTATTCAATATAGTCTTTTTTTCTCATTAGACTTTCCTGTCAGGCTAAAGTTTGAGGGTAACGTTTGAGTCGTTTCTTGATTGCGTTCTGTGACTCAATGCTGTTGAGGGTATCGGTAACTTGCTAGCCAGCAAATGCACATTAGCAGCCATGTTAGCAGGAACCACTGGCTCTGGTTCCTGGAATGGAAATTTAGGAAGAAGAAAAACTAGCCAGCTTAAAAAAAAGCAAGCTAGCTAGCTAACAAGCTCACTTTTTTGCCTTTTGTTAATCTTTGACGTTCGATCACTTCTATTGCCAACCCATATGATCCTTCATTCATTCTGTGCAACAATGCTTGGCAAAACAGGTCTTAAGACTGCTTCTTTTGTACAATTCTGATGCATTATAGGTCTTAAGTTTCATTCAAAATGATTTGAAA